TTTTTTGATTCGGGAACCAGACCTAATATTATCCAAAACGCCCATTTACTATAATTATAATTATAAAATTATAAAATATAGTAAATAAATTCTATATTTAGACGGGGTGAGGGTGGGAAAGGTCTGCCCCAATATTTTTAAATATTGGTTTTACCAAAAAAACAAAATTGTTCTACAAAAAACAACAACAAAAAAATGATATAATTCATCTAGTTTCGACATTCTAAGGTTAACTTGTAAATATTCCTTTTTGATTTAAAAAATGAATAAAATCATACAAATTTGAGTGTTTTTATTCATTTTTTAAATCAAAAAGGAATAATTATACTTTTAACTCGCCGACATACCTAATCCCCAACGAACCAATAGTGTTAAAAAGAGCAGTGTTTTTGTTTTTTTGAAAAAAAATATATTATACAGTGTAGTTCAATTTTAGTAAAATGAAAAGGGAATAACGAGTTCAAATCGTGAACTAATAAACAAAAAAATAAAATAAAAATAAAAATTAATGGCAAAAACGTAAAAAATGGCAAAAAGAAATAATGGTAAATTGCAATAACATTTATTACAAAACAAATAAATATATTTTTTATACATAAAACAATAAAAAATTATTGGTTTTGAGTTGAAAATAAAATACAAATTGTAAAAGTAACATGAACACATCGGTGATAATTAATGTAAACATAAAAAACATGTAAATAATTAGTTTTATGTCTTAATACAAAAACTTTTCAAAGAACCCATAATATTAACTGTGTATATTTTCAGACAATACGATGTAGCAAGATTTTTGAAAATAATTTTCCGTCTATAATACATTTTTTATTTCTTGATAATTACCATATTTTGACTAATCTCTTGAAGAGTTTTTATTAAAAGAATTTAAAATATAACAAGCAATCATTAAAAACAATTTTTAGTGTTAAATATATTATTGTTTTTATAACAATTTCCCTCCATTACATATAATCCACATGTTTTTTATATTATTGTCTGACTTCTTGTCTAATATATGGACTGTTTAACCAATTGTTTGTTGTTGACTCTTGACAGGTTGATGCATATAATAGCACATTTTTAATAATATATTGAAAGGGGTGTTTAAAATGAATAAGGTAAACCACAACTATATTTTTGATTTTTCAAACAACAAAAAACCAAACTTCTTTGTTTATAAACACTATTTTATTGATTTCTTAGGTGATAATTGTAATTTTTGTTATGTTTTATATAATCGATAATTTATCTTTATATTGTCAATTATAAGGAAAAATTATTATTATTATTCTTTATATTTGGGTTGCTGAATAATCAATTGCAGAAATATCACTGTCTGTAAAAGCGATGTATGATAAAATCGTTTTATCGTTATTATATTTTACAACTATTTCGACTCTATCATTTTCACCATGACACAGAAGCACGTTACTCGATGTTAATAACAACCACAATTATCAAGTTGCGTCATTCTCTAAACATAACCAATTTGTTTTTTACTTATTACGACTATTATTATTTATTTGTTTTGTCAAACAAAAAATAGCAAATTTCACATTAGTTATGTGTGCTTTTTATCATTGTCTTTAGATTTTATGAATACTTTTTTAATAGTTGGCAGATAATAGTCTATCTCGATAAGATTAACTATATTTTATTATAAACAACCATTTTTGTTTGTTAATATTTGTATTTATTATTATCAAAATTTATATAACTTCGAGTAGGACACAAATTCAATTTAGATATTAAAACTCCTTATTGAAATTAAATCTTGAAATCGAACATATTAAAACTATAAGCTACTACCATAATCAATCTCAATTAAATTTACATATTGACACTTTCACATTCAAATTGATTCAATTAATGGCTGGATTGAATGATTGACATTTTTTAACATTCGCTGCGTTTTGTGGACTTCTTTAATATATTTATAAGTCCAAATTTGTTGTTAGAAGTTAATTGTTTCTAAATGCTACATTTAAGTTTTTTATTGTTGAATTGTGTTGTATTTATTAAATAACAAATCAAATGATTAGTTTGATAACTTTCAAATTCGCTTTCTTTTAAACTTACTAAATCAACATTTTCAATTTTGAAAACAAACATCAAGTGGTCGCAATTGACTGTTTGTGGGGTAACACAACCACAAAAACATAACTGTGTTATGAATCCGAACATCAATTTTATTAACGTCAATTTAAAATTCAACCATTGTTTGGTTCTACAAGTATTTTTAATTATTTTTTGTTGTTTTTAATTAATGTTAATAAAATAATAGAAAATGATTTTTTAATTTATAACAATAAATATTATATTTTACTATAATTTGCTAAAGCCGACTTTTTTCACCAACTCTTTATTATTTTGGTTGTAATTTTTGTATTGTTTTGCGTTTAAATTTTTATTTTAAAAATAAATGCACAAAACGATTTTTGGTATAAAAAATAAATATAATATTATTATGATAATTTTATATCATTTGTTTTTATCTATTTTTCAGGAAAATCACCTAATAATATTTCAAAATTATTTAAACAGTTTTGGGACAAATTTTTAAAAACTGTTAAAAAGAGCAGTATTGGGTTGTTGGCGAGTTAAAATTAAATTTTTATTAGTTTCTTTTGATTTAGTTGTTAATTTATATAATTTATATATGATGGTTTTTTATTTTCAAAATAAATTAAAAACTCGTTTTTTTTACAAAAATAATTTCTTTTTAAATACAAATTATATTAATAAAGTTTTTTTTAATGTAATAAATTGTAACCCAATTTTAAACCATTAATTTATAATTGATAATATATATTTTAAAACCAAAACTTCCCAAAAGTGTATCAATTATTTTTTTCTTTTGGGAACTATGAAAAGTTTGAATAAGAAATGACACACCAAACAGCATTAGTGACAGGAGGGACTGGTTTCATCGGTTCCCACACAGTTGTTGAGTTACTTGAACAGAACTATGACATTGTCATCATCGACAATTTAAGTAATTCTTCTGAGAAAGTCATTGACCACATTCTTCAAATCACAAAAGTTGACAGAAGTAGAATAACTTTCTACAACTACGACCTTCTCGACATTTCTCTGATTGATGAAGTGCTCGACAAACACAACATCGACTTCGTCATCCATTTCGCAGCTTTAAAAGCTGTATGTGAATCTGTAGCACATCCAGTAGCCTATTATCGAAACAATTTAAATGGTCTCATGAATTTGCTTGACTCGATGGAGAGACACAAAATATTCAAAATCATTTTCTCATCTTCTTCGACCGTCTATGGTAATCCACTTCAAATACCCGTCAACGAAGACACTCCCCTTCAGAAACCAACAAATCCATATGGTCACACCAAAGCTATGACCGAGCAAATATTGACTGACTTTTCAAAGGTGCATCCCGATGCTTCAGTAGTTCTTTTAAGATATTTCAACCCCATTGGCGCACACAAGAGTGGGTTAATTGGAGAGAACCCTCGGGGTATACCAATCAATTTGGTGCCAATCATCACCAAATATCTTGTTGGGAAAATTTCATCTTTAAAAGTGTACGGTGGCGATTACAACACACGAGACGGAACATGTATCAGAGACTATCTGCATGTTGTTGATGTCGCTAAAGGGCATGTTGCCGCTCTTAAAATCCTCAACAACAAAACAGGGACAAATGCGTATAACTTGTCTCGTGGAGAAGGGTTCACTGTTCTTGAAGTCATTCACGCTATGGAGAAGGCATCCGGAAGAAAGATAGAATACCAAGTTGTTGAGAAACGCCCTGGAGATGTTCCTGCAATATACGCGGAGTGCAAAAAGGCCGAAAAAGAGTTTGGATGGAAGGCTGAGATGGGGCTTGATGAGATGTGCGAAGACGCATGGAATTGGCAACAAAAGTTCCCTGATGGTATCTAAGTCCGTGGTCGTTTTCTGTTGGTTTGCCCCATTGAAACTACAATAAATTAAATGATAAAAGTAATTATAACTTTGGAATTTGTCAAGTAAAGAGTCCGTTCTTAAAATAGAATAGACACTGTTTTCTTGGAATTAGAGAAATTTGGGAAATAGAGAAACTTGGAAAGAAAGATGACGACCTTTTTGTGTGGTCGAAGCGGTTTTATATTCTGTCAAATGATTGGACATCCATTTGAATCAGAATGTAGTCAAGATTGGGAAATTCTTGGAATGGTGTTCAGAAGACCAGCTATGATGGTTATTTGTTTTTTCTCAACAATTCTTAGTTTTGACTTAGCGTGGTCGGTTCATTCGAGATTCTGTAAGTTGATAGGTGGAAGGTTTGATTTGGTTGTGATGTACCTCTTGCTTGGATTGTGGTATTGTTCGGTATTTTTAGATCGGGTACTTTTTATTGACCCAAGCAAAGCAAGTACTTCCTTTGCTGTTTTACTAGAGATGCTCCTTTTGGACGCTTTTGTATTTTCAATGTTGAATGTGTCTTCTATTGAAATACATCACATGTATTTTCTTAAGGTACCGAATTGGGTGAGGTGGATTGTATTTTCAATCTTACCTTTCGTTTCATTTATTCTTGAAATGATCACGTTTTTAACATCGGGTATTGTGTTTGAAATCTTTTATTTAATGCTTACCTTTGTTCCAATCTTGATCTCTCTTGGCTTTTTGCTCTTTAACATATTTATATCAAAGAAGAAAATTGTATTAACCATAATCGTCACGGGATCACTCTTTATATTTATGAGTGGATTGGTTATGTATTCTGCCTATGATCAAAGAATGTGTGATGTCCTCTCACCATACTTTGCATCAGAAGAAATCTTTTTTATCACGACAATGTGTGCCTTGTTTCTGTTTTTCCGATTATATGAAAAAATGGCATATTCAGTCCTTGAGGGAAAGAAGATTGGCGAAGTGAAATTTGAAGGGAAGTTACTAGATGTTCATCTAAGGCAGATGTGAGAGTATTCCATTGATTTGTTATTAATTTAATTGGTTGTATTTTCAAACCACTTTTATGTTCCATTTAAAATGAATTGCACATTTAAAGAAAACAAAGTTTTCGAACCATATTACTGACAACAGAAGTCAACAAAATAACAAATAAATTAAGTTCAAAAGAATTTGAAACAACTGTTGAGAAACGTCGAATTATCCCCTACGACAAAGGAGTTGATGTGTTTGCTTATTTTACTCCCCAATTCTCTCAAGGGTTGACCCTCACACATAACAGAAGAGTCGAAGATATTTACAATTTTCACATATCCAACCAAGCCGTCTCTTTCATCTTTTCCACCAACAATTACAATACCAAACATAAACAAGAAATCTTCCAGTAAGTGGTAAGCTTCTCTTCTTTTAATAGCTTGAAGTCGTTTTTTAATTGTTTCCCTTTTCACGTTTTGTTTGAGCATAATATGTTCAATAATTTCACACCTCTTTTTGACAACCTTTTGGAAATCAATAATTTCGTCGCCAATTCTAATTGTCTTGACTTTTTGGAACTGAGTCGTGATACGTGCTTGTTTACTTGGCTTTCTGACTGAGAGTTCAGTAAATTGGCATAAGTATAATATGATAATGTTTTGGACTTCTGCTTGATAAGAAACTGCATCAAGTGTCTTTTCCTGGGAAGATCGTTTGAGAATTGTATAGTTGTCCCTTTGCGTGTTGAACATATTTATGATAAACAAGATGAATGTCATGTATAAATATGATATAAAATGTTTTCGGTTTCTCATTAAGGTGGTTTTCAAAATGTTTAAAAATTATTTGATTGGGCGAATATTCGTATTAAGTGAAAAAAATTTAAATGAACAGCTGGAACTATTTGAAAATAAACTGTTTACTAGGAATTCTTTAGTAGCCGTTTTATTCTAAATAATAGACTTTTACTACCCTCGACGCACAAATTACTTTTTTTTACCACTTCATTTCTTTGTTTTAATAATCCAGTCTTTTTATAACATAATGAGTGGACTCTATAACAACAACTTAGTATTTGCGAACTTTCCGTTTGTGTTTTCAAAGACTTAATTAGAAGATTAATTAATTTCCCTTTGAGATCTGCACAATAAATCAATTTAAAAAGTACTCTTCTTATTTTTTTCTAATTCCACTTCACCTGGAAATTAAAGAATTAAATAGTATGACCTAACAATTCTTATTATTTGAACAAGAAGGTGTTTTTTGGTGGTTCAAAAAACAACTAAAAAATGGTCAAAACAACTTTACTGGCAAAACTGGTTGAATAAATAATTTATGAAAATATTACAAAAACAATAATATTACTATTAAACAATTATATAGTTACTATAAAATATATAGAATTAGCAACTGTATTTAATAAATATATTGTTAAGAAAATTTTAAAATTGATTCCTTTTTAATTAGTCTTTTTTGACCAATATTTTTGATGAATAATTGAAGTCTAATTTTAAATATTTATTAGTTTAATGTAGTTGATGAGAGTCAACAAAAGTATGATCCACAAAACTGATTTGGATATTCCTTTTTGATTTAAAAAATGAATAAAAACACTCAAATTTGTATGATTTTATTCATTTTTTAAATCAAAAAGGAATATTTAAAACATATTGATTTAATGAATTTTTTAAAATAGAGTCTTTTTTTAAATAAACAACTTTTTAAAACTATTATTTTAGTTTTAATCTCAATTAATTTTGAATTATTATTATATTGATTTGAATATCAGCTATTTTTGATGTTTATTATAAAGATAGGCTGTTTTGTTGTTTTAAAATAAAATGTTTGTTAAAGTTGTGTTGTATTGAATTGGTTCTTGTCGACTCCCAAATAAATAATCACTACATTATAACAATTAAATTATCATTATAGTACTCGCCTCTCCAACAACAGATAGTTTAAAAAAGTCTTTTTTAGTCTACATTTATGAACGATCATTTGTTAATATTATGACGTCTGAATTTGATTTAAAAAAAATAAAATACAAAACTATTTGTTATTAACAACTATCAAACATTTGAAAAATATAATTGTGTCATATTTTCTTTGGCTCAGGAGAGATCTCTAATGTAAACAAGTTTATTTTTTATAATTTTTCATTTAAAAGTATATAGTTCCAAACCCAACCTCTTTCATACGTTACATTGTATTACCAAAACCAATTGCGTTTTAAACCATACTCTACTTGTTAATTCAAAAACTTTATTAATTTTGTTGAAATTCAAAAATTTTGACTTGAAAAGGTATAAAAAGGTTCTTTATTAGTATTTTGTTTTTAAATATTAAACCACAATTACAGTCATGCGAAAAAGCTGTCGCGTTTGGAAAAACCTGTCTTGAAAAAATATTTTATAGTAAATTTATAATTACTTACTATACAGTATAGCTTCTATTCGATTTATTTGCAGGGTCATTTCACAAAAATCGAATAAAAATATTCGGCATTTCCAAATAACATTTTCTATTTCAGATCATTTGTTTATAGTACTAGAATAGTTCATTACCACCCGAGACAGGTTTTTCCAAACGCGACAGCTTTTTCGCATGACTGTAATTTTTTTTATAAATTGATTAATTAAATAATAATCATAAAAAATAACACGAATACAACGATTCAAATGGTAAGAACAATTTACTAATTTTGATATTTCATTGTCTTTTGTTCATAGACGTGTTTTTCCTCAATCAGTTGAGTTAATTAATATGATTCCCAAAATAAATAAATAAACCAATTTGTCGTCAAACAAGTTGATTATTTTTTTAAAATGTTTAACAATTCTATATCGTAATATTCATAATTCCAAATAAACAAATTTTATTATTCAAACTGTTTAATTAGTATTGTTTGTTACCATTTAGTAAAAATTTATTCTAATTACCCCAGTTTTGGTGTATAATAGCCCCAACTAAACAACATGGTAACATACATCAATAAAAATTAAGTTGACAAATTACCATTTTTGATACTGATTGGATATTCATAATTTTTTTATAAAAATGTTAATTTCATTACTACCGCCACGTTTTAAGCACAATGATCAAAACTTATTTAAAATGATCAAAATAACGTTTATCTTAAAATGAACGAACTCGTTTTATAATGAATATGATTATTATAAAATCTGTTATAAAACGTTGTTTTTTGAAAATATTTTAGTAATGATTATATAATAATAAACTTAAAGAATTATACGACAAACTCAAAAATCATTGCATCACTGACATTCGATATATTAAACAGAATATCGAATTGATATTTCTAAACTGTATTACAATATCCAAACAAAAGTGTGTAAACCACAAAACACACTTGGGTATTTATGTGTCACTATGTGACGGGTCAAAAATTTAAATTAACTTCACAATTACCAATTCTTTATATTAAAGTCCTGTGCAAAAAAAATAATTATAAAATAGTAATTTAATAAGAAACAATTAGAAACTCAATTATGTTGGAATGAGAAACAACAAAACTCGAAGTCAAGACGGAAAGTGGATATAAAACAGACTAAATTAATAACAAAAACAATGTCTCACTGCGAGTTGTGCGAGTCAATCGGTACAATTCTCTCAGTGGAGTTATGTCTCAGGTCGGGTGCCTCTTTACCCAAAAAGTCCTTTTTGTGCGACTCGATGAACTTTGGATCGGCCATGATGGGGTTCTCATCCCGCGGCACCGTCACCCTCTTGCGGACCACGCGCTCGAAATGGATTGTTGGACACAACCCGTTGAATCGAAAGTAGGGTAGTGCCATTGGGCGTGCTACATCGGACATTGTTTTTTACAGATGAAACTTCTTAATTTCTTTTCGGTCTTTCATTCGGTCGTTTGAAAAAAGTGAGAAACTATTACGTGGTATTATATTTTAATTTAATTATAGTTCAGCTGCTGTTTGGGAGACACTTCCTATCATCGAAAAAACTTTAGATGAAACCCTTCCAAAAAATAATTATATTAGTATCATTTTATGTAAAAATTCGGGAAATTTTAATTTTTGTCACATTACTAAATGGATTTAAAAATTTTCTAAAACGAGCGAAGTATTTAGAAGATAATCGGATGGTGGAAACAAAAGGCTATAAGAGGTATTGAAAAATAATGAACAAGAGTTTTGTGCCGATAAAAAAACGAGAATCAAAAACAAACCTTCTATTAATAGTTTTTTGTCTAATATAAAATATTAATAATATAATTTGTTGCATTTTTGGTTAATTATAAAAGCAAATGATAAAACTAAGTAAAAACGTTGCATTTGTTTTTCTTTAATTTCTTTAAAAATAATTTCATATTGATTCTAAAGTCAGTCTAAAAAAGTTGTTCACTCTCACGTTGTCTGGGCATTTTTGGACCATTAAAACCGTAATATTTCGGGAAACAATTCAAAACACTCCCAAACCATTGTTTCATAATTTTTCCGGGATTTGATCATTATTTTCTAATTCCCATTTTTTTGAACTTATTTTGTGTAAATTTTTGTCAAATGGACAACGTTTTTAGACAGACTTTATAATTATTTATCAATTAACTATATAGTTAATAAAAATAGTTAATTTTATAAATTATAATTATCCAAAAATATATTAAACTAAATAACCAAATTATACCTTTTGATAATTATATTCTATAAAAAATTATTACTAATACTTATAGTATAAACATATGATTGAAAAAATCTATTAATATAGTTAAACCGAACTAAAAAAATAAAATTAGAGCTCCTCTTTGATGACTGGTTTCACATAAGGTTCCTTGACTCTATCCATGAAAGCTGGGAATTCTTTCAACATTTCAATTCTTCCAGATTTCCCAAGTAAAGCCTCCTTTCCAAATTTCGTGACGTCTTCGACATCGAATCCACCGACGAATCGAACGATTCTACTTCTCTGAGGGACGTAGATAATAGCAGTTGGAGTATCGAAGAAGACGTTCAACTTCTTGCACACTTCGCTTTGTTCCGCGCAGTGGAATGAAGTGACGTGCATCTTGTCTTTCAAATTCTCTGCAACTGTATCAGCCATTTCGCTATCGACCTCGTCGCCAAAGATGAGTAACATGCATGCCTTTCCTCCACAGTGTTTATTAAACATTTCATTGTCTTCCACGTGCAAATTAATGAATGGCACTTCAGGGGCCTTTTCCTCTTTATTTGGCGCTTCCTCTTCTGTTGGTGCCTCAAACTTCTGATCAGTGTATTGTGACAAGAACGCCATGATTGCGTTCATTTCGAGCTTTCCTTCATACTTCTTAATTTCGCCTTTGACCTCTACAAAGAGGGATGGGTACTCCGTCACTCCAAATCTCTTAACGGCCTCTTCGTTCTCTTTTTGTGCGTCGTAAAAGTTCAAGACTCCCGCAAAGTGCATTGCGAGGGATTTCAACATCAACGTTCTCTTTGGTTTGTCCGAGAACAAAATGACGTTGTTCTCCGTCTCAAACTTCTCGGGGAGTTTATTGACCCAATCGGGTATCATATCATACATAGTCCCTATAATAGCTTTAGCCTCTCTTGGCCCATTATAATCCTTTGGTGTTCGTTTGCTATGTGTTTTCTGTGCAGAAAACAATTTGACGGTGGGGAACCCTTGGACCCCAAATTGCCCACATATCTCTTTCTCTACTTCACAGTCTACAGCTGCAAATATGGCCTTCCCATTCACTTCTTTGGCTGCAGCGGCAAATTCGGGCGCTAGGTGTTTGCAGTGACCACACCATGGGGCGTATAACATTAAAATAGTTGCTGAAGTCGAAGACTCCAATGCGGGGAGATCCTTTTTCGTTGGCATGAAGATTGGCGCGTCTCCAAAGAAATGGGCTGTTGAAAGTGTTGCAAGTAAAAGAAGTAACATCTCTGCTTTTTCAAGTTTTTTGAGGTTTATAAATCTACTGCAAAATTTTTAGTTGCATGACGTGGAACAACGGATTGTTTCAATTTGATCATTTATTAAACAATTTAGGGTCTTTTAACGCAAAATATCGGGACAGAATTTATGTTCCGTTGTATGTCTGTTTATTTATAATATAAACTATAGTTTTAATTATAGTATAAAGTATAGCATTTAATATAGTAAACTTTAACATATTTATAAAGTTATAATAATTAATAATAATTTAATGATTGGAGTGTATTTTTGAATACAAGAAATCAACTATATTTAAATTAAAAAAATAGTTTAATTTATAGTTTTTTTTTCAACGATAAAATAGTTTAAAAAATTATAAATAATTTATTAGAAAGTTTGATGAAACCGATGAAACTAAAAATTACTACAAATTAACTACAAACATATTTAATGATATTTAGCAGAGACAACAAAGTCATTAGTGAGAGAGGGCATATATGTCCATATTAATATCGGAGAGGATATCCATATGTGATTTCGCCTTTTGTTCATCGAAATATTTGTCCATGACATCGTAGATAGCGGGCGAGATGTATTTAAGTGAAAGCACATCTTTGCCAAAGGAGTCAGAAAGACCCTTTTGATCCTTTTTATACCCACTCTTAATGTTATTGATTTTGTCTCTGATCTGTGTCGATGTTTTAGTGATACCCAAGTCAAGGGCTACACTAGCGGCTATAGTCTTATAAGTCTCATGGAGTGACATGACTGACGGTTCGGTGTATCTCCAGTAAAAGTATTTCAGAAGGACGTACTTTGTTGCTTTTTCCGTCCAAGTTCTGGACGAGTTGTCGTCGGTATTTGAAGAGCCGAAGTCACTTTGGATGGCTTGTGACTTAACGAAGGTGTTTGTAATAGGTGAGGAGATGACGGTGTAATTATCGGGGTTTTTGATTTTGGTGAAAGCACTCATTGACTTCGAGTAAGGGAATGCATAGGTGCACTGCGCCATGTATGTTGAGTATAACTTAGTATTGTGAGTTTCTTCTAAAGGCTAAGACTCACTTCTCTTTCGTTCTTTCTTTGGTTTTGTCATTCGTTTTCGTTCCATTTATTTTCGTTCATTAAAAAAAAATTGTTCGGTTACACAGAAGATTCCTCGTGTTGCTCGAACGTTCGCCCAGCTTCCTTCGCAATTTGTCTTTCGAATTTTTTTCATTGGAATTTTCTCGGAGTGGTCCTTCCCACTGATGTGCTGTAAAATTCGGGAAATGGTGGCATCATAGTTTTGAAGTCTAACGAAGTTTTGCGAATCACTTTGGCATTTGTCGTTTATGTACCATTCATTCTAGTTATTTAATAGTTATTGTGTGGTTAAAACTGTATCGTTTTAGTAGAGATTTAAATTTAGAAAATCAATTTCGTTGAGTTTTGTATATTGAACGGCAAATTAATCATCGTATTTTTCAACAAGTTCTTAGTAGTATTTTATAATAGATATTATAATTAAACTTTGATCTTTTGGTGACCTTCATAATTTTTTGACTAACTTTCAGCTTCAATACGAGATTGATTTATTTGGTCACAAGAAAGCATATACAAAAAAGTGGTGGGAACTATTTGTATAATATATAATAAAACCTTCAAAATGGTTCAATTGTGTTGAATTTGCACTTTTTGTTTATTTATGTTTTTAGATGAGAAATACAGTTTTTTATTGTGCAATCTTTTTTTTTCTCTTTTTTTTGGGGGTTTTAAACGAAAAAATGATTTTTAATCCCTTGGCAGAAAACTCATTTTATTACACAATAGAAAATGTTTCCAAATTATCCTCTTATTTTTTGTCATTATTTTTAATTATTCATCTGATCTCGTTCATTTTAACCGAACAAACAAATGTAGTAACCACAAATATAAAAAAATATCATATCTAAATTAAATATATCTAAATTCATAACGATAATTATAACTATTTAGTTTATTTACTATATTTTATTACTACAACATAGTTTTCTGTTTCTTGTTTTTTTATTTTTGATATTTTTTTACTTTGTTTTTTTGTTATTATTTTAATTATCAATAGTTCATTAAATAAATAGTTTATTAAAATTTTAATTATAAATAAGAAAATAAAAATACATTTTGATTTATATTGAATATTATTAAATTGGTTAAATATTTCAATGTTTTTTTAAGACAATACAAAAGTTCAAAATTATGAAAAAATATCAAATACAGATCCCAGAAAAACATACCGGCATAGAATAATTTATAGTATATTATAGTTTTTTTGTTTTTTGTCTTTTTTTTCAAAATTTTTATTGAAAAAACTATTAAATAGTTTTCAGAAACCATTTTTATAGTTTGCCGGTCGGTTTTTCTGGGGTCTGTAATAAATTAATTATTTTTTGATAATTTAAAATTAAAAAGGGCAAATATTGATAAGTGGTAATAATAATGTTATTTGACTTTTGTGAAAGAAATTTTAGTTATATTTATTATGTTTTTAAGTAATTAAATTTTATTTTGACATTAGTGGTATTAAACTGCAAAAATAAAATTATTTATTGAACTCCAATAAAGGCAAAATTATCATTTGATTCATTGATTTCAATTATATTAAATAAGAATTTATATTTAAATTATATTTTTAAAATAGTATTACCATATTGCATTTTTGACGTTTTCAATAAAAGATAAAAATAAGACTTATTGTTATTCTTTGAACAATCTAACCATATATAACTATTTAATCAACTATATTCAACCTTTCTAAAAACAGTCTTTTCCAAAAAGGTGGTTAAAAGAAAGAACGACATCATCAAATCTGTCGAGTTTCCCGCTTTAATCCACATTTTTTTCAGTCATAATTAATCACTTTTCTTTGATGAATACTTTTACTTATTAAAAAGCCTTTACAACCCAAAGAATAAGGGTTAAGCCGAGAGACAAAACACTTTCAAAGAGTGAAGAGCAGAAAATTTCTCAAAAAAAAACAAAATTAAGAACAAAATCCTCCATGCTTCTCTTTTCTAATAAATTCGACCGTTTCCTTTCAATTCTTGTTTTTACTCCGCAAATAAAAACACGGCCAACTTTAAAAGTGTCATGTTAGCTTTGCTAGTGCTAAGTCTGTTGAGTGTGTCTGATGCCGCAAAAGGCTTAGACATCCACGTCTTTAATGTTGGTCAAGCCGACTCCCAGTTAATAGTATTTCCCTCTGGTTACTCCATCTTAGTAGATGCTGGTGAAGTGAAAACAGGGTCGATGAATTGTAAAATTATTGCAGAACGAATCAAAGCCATACTTGGTAAGAGTTATGTTGATGTAGCTGTGTTAACACATCTTCATATGGATCATCTTGGTGTTCCATTTAAAAATGGGTTTTGGTATTTAATGGAGACTGCTGGGATCTCCTTTGGTAAATTTGTTGATAGAGATTCCGGTGCCATGAAAGCTGGGAAGACTGAATGTTCTGTTGAAGATGATATTGATTGGCACAATGCTGGAACAGTATCTGGTCCTGCTATTAAATGGATATGTTATTCGACAAACACGTTATTACAGACTAAAGTCCAACCAATTCGAAAGATAGCAGTCCCGTGTTATAAGATGATTACACCTCCTGATGAAGGAGCTGATGTCGAGATAGTCGTTTCTGATGCCAGAGGTGTTAAATATGAAGGAAACCCATTGACTGGGGATCATAGAAATGAGACGTATGCCCCATCGGAGAACGACTATTCAATCTCTTTAAGAATTCAATATGGAAATTTCGTCTATTCAACCTCCGGCGATTTGGACGGCGAGAATTCGAAATCGGAGTTTAAGTATATGTACCATAACATCGAATCAGTCTATAAGGACGTCGTCGGAGAAGTCGACGCGTATCACGCTAACCACCACGGGTCGTCCCATTCAAATAACGCCGAATGGCTTTTGGCTTTGAAACCAACTGTCTCCGTCATCTCATGCGGTGCTGGTAACTTGTATAAACACCCAACAGAAGTTGCAGTCACTAACATGAACACTTACTCGAAGAAGATCTATTTGACACAAAACTGTAACCCAACAGTCACTGATAAATTCTCGAAGGCAATCATCGTCAACGACGAAATCTTAATCCACTACCCAACTGGGGGTGTATCGTTCTCTATCTCTAATCAGGGTGGTAACTTCACTACTTACTTCGATGTCAAGAAGAACAAACCCACCAGAAAACAGTGTGGAATTCAAAACTAATTTATTCGTCAAGTTTCAATTCTAACACAAAAGACTACACAACTGTTGTGTAGTTCTAAATAAACTAGACTTAATAGTATTACATTTTTTAATGGATCAAAATAAGCAATTAAATAGGGAAATAATTACAGTATTAAGCCATTTTATATCGGAATGAATTTTATTAGTTTTAATAATTTTTGTATTGAATAACTTAAAAGACTAAAAAATATTGGCAAAGAAGAAAACAGAAAAAATATAATTAACAAATATTAATATATTTAATTAATATTATAAAATTTGTCAAATTTGTTAATAGTATCATTAATAGTTTAATAAATGGTTTAATATTTATCAAATTCAAATATGTGACACATAAAAAATTTCACAACCAATAAATCGCGTTGATGAGCGACACCCCACAAAACGCAACAATTTTGAACAAACAATTTTATCCGCGAATGCTTCCAAAGATCTACAACGACGCAGTACAACAACTTTCTGAGATAGACAATACTCTTGTCGATGAGAGTACACTACAATCACTCGACACAACTCAACTCAAAATACCAACAAGTGAAGAACTGGTCAATGCAGCGTGCAACATGGTTAAAGAGTTTGACTTGGACAAGATTGCAGAGATGCCAATAGACACCCTCTTCCCACAGAAGTTGGCGACACAACTCAATGAAGAACCGACTGAGATAGGAAAGACACTTGACATAATCAAAAGCGGTGATGTTGTAGCCAGGAAGGATGTGGCATATCTTGTCACAAGGACACCAGCACCTTTTCACTTTAGCAAGTCACCAACTACTTCTTACGACTCGACAAATCCAAACAAAGTAATTTGTGAAGCAAAAGAGGGGGTGTTGTCCGTGAAAATATTTGATTCGACGCGGCGCGTGGTTGAGGCATTGAGTGAGGTACTAACAACAAATCGGATAAGTGAGCTTCGGGAGTGTTTTGAGTGTCAGAATGATGTTGAGAAACGTGGGCCCTGGCTGTTTTATATCAACAATGTGATATTCACAAAAAAGTGTTGGGAAGATGAGGTCCAAACAAATGTTGTCGAGTGGCTCAACTTCAGAACATTTGACACGGACGCTGTGACAGCACGACCGACTCTATGTGTTGACGACAAGCAGCTTGGTGACATTAATATTACAATCGACAGGCCGTGTCTCTTTGGCCATCTCTATAACTGTGAACATAACTTTGTCTTTGCTGACGCACGCATCCCAACACAAGCAGACACAACTTCAAAGTACCCCGCAATCGTTTACAGAAAGCTGCGCGCAACGCGAAGGTGTTCAATCTGTGAAACAAACAAACCAATCTACCAAGTCGTTGGCGATGAACTCACACCAACAGATCCGGCTTTCCTCTGTAATGAATGCTTTTCTCTTCTCCACCCCAACTACGATAACGTCAACACATTCAAGTTGTAGGTCATTTTTTGTAATACGTATTGTTATTGTATTTTCAATATTTTCTTGGTGTTTTAAAGAAATTATTTTACTCAAAGATACAAAAATTGTTAAAACATTTTATTCAAAAAATCAAAGAAACTCTTTTATCTGTTTATTATTCGTACCAAAAACGTGAAAATATTTACAAAAATAACAAATTTAAAAACATTAAAAATGATGATTCGAATCTTAACCATTCTTGCTTCGTGATGTTTCGATTGTGGTATTCTTTCAATTCACTAAAATAAGAATCAATTATAATAAAATAAACTATAATTATAGTTCGATTAAATAATTTCTCAATTTTTCTATTTATTATTTAAAAAAAAGTCACAAATAGTTGACAAAACTGAAAATAACGACTAGTAACTAATAATAAAACTTTACTAAAAAATGAAAAGTAATAAAAAACAAAAAAATTTAAAAAAAAATATTTAAAAAAGGTTTTCGGCAATTCACAATTTTTTTTTTCAGAGTCTGAACCAAAATGGTTTTGGCTGATTATTATTTTCATTTTTATTGTGTTTGCCTGAAAATTTATTTGAAAAAAAAATACGATTCCGTATGAGCATTTTTGAGCAACAATTCAAAATAACAGCATTATTCAATGAAGACTTGTCTTGTTACTTTTAATTGATACAGTGATATTAGTATGTTTAATATGTTATAATCAACAAACTTATTTGCCAACACATTGGAAGTTGTTTCAAAATATAAGAATATTGTAGAACCTTAAGCAATATGCTTTTATAAATAAAAAAAGAAGTTGTCAAATATGGTTGGAAATTTAAAACACAAAAGCTAAACTGTTTCTGTTAATATGGTGGACCATTATAATAACGAAGCACTCCGACTTCGAAAGAGAATGTCTAGGAGTGAAGAGACGATGTTAACCAACTCCTTGGTGTATTTTATTGTGAATTGTGGTTTTGATATTACAATTAGAAAGACAAAACAAGCGAAACACACAATTAAAATGATTCTTATTAATGAAATGAAACATCATGAAACTGGCAAAACAATCACTCAAAACGACTTAAAACTGTTTTCGACAACATTATTAGACAATATGTCCTACAGCCATGCCAAAGAAGAGTGTATGACATTGAAACAACTGAAACGATCCAAAGAAGCCGAACTGAACAACGCCCTTCTTTATATGTTACATAAAGTGGGTTTTGAGTTTGAAGAGAAAAAGTCCAAGAACTCGATACTAACTGAAAAGTATATTCGTTTTCAAAAACTTTATTTCAACGACTTATATACATTTTCAAAAGAAACTTTATGCTCTATAGGACAACACTTTGAAGAGCTGGTCATGTCTAAAATGAGGAGATCACGTCTTACTGTCACTAAAGAATTCATCAAACAGCTTAACAAGGATCTTCTCCCAACCGTTTCTTTCGACTTTTTGTCTTTTGAACTTGAAAAATTGGCCAATCAAAGCGACTTGAAAACATTTCCACAATTCGACGAAATGGGAAATATTGGAATATTTAACAAGACAGAACAAGAAAAACCCCATGACGCAAAAATCAAAATTCGTACTCTGTTTAGAAACTCTCAAAGGGAAAAAGATAAACAGATGAGCGAGACCCCAGATAACACACGAATTCGAGAAACCCCAAAAATGCTCTCGCCAGCACTTAGTGACCTTTCTGTTGGATTACGAAGACCCGCATCTAAACTCTCAATGGAGTCTTGTTGTGGGAGGAGTATATCTCGTGAGTTCTCAGACGAAGTATGTGATTCACCACACACCCCCACGCAGTGGTGTCAACCGTACAAACCCCAAAGGAGAAAACTTGCTCTTGTTGACCCGTTGGACTTCTTTTTAAACTTCCCGTCAACGCAGTTCTCACAACTCTCACCTGCCGAACAGTTGGACTTCTGCACGGGGCAGCTTGAGCAACTCCCCTACGAAGAACATAAAAACGCTAATCAAATGGAACTTGATGAAAGTACCTTCGACCAATCCGGGATAATGGGGAAGGTTTTTGCCAAACTATCAAATGTATTAATTTTGTTTTTATTTGTAAGTATAGTTTAGTTCTTGTTTCGTATGATTTCATATA